TTCTGATGACATATCCCCCAGTTTGATGACATTCACAAAGTGCACTACAGAGTCCCCAGTGGTCCATGGACCATGATGCAGGTCTGTAACAAGATGAGCTCAGAGAGCAAACATTAGAAATTTTTAGCATGATTCAATAGGGTGTTCTATATCTATTGCATATAATAAGAAAAAAGGTGAGCTTATGTTCTGTGAAGACTTAAATTTAATTTTTAGGAAATCATTTATATTATATTTTTTAAAGCATTGATTTGCATTGGATAGGAAAAAGGAAAACAAACAAATCTTTCACTGGAGGAAGTCTAAGATGCACTGTCTGTATATATGATGGGAAATTTTCTCTGCCTCTTTCTACTCTGGCCACCAGAGATGTTATATTTTGCCTCTGTGGCTTAATTAAGAAAGGGGCAAGATATTGCTTGTTTACCCTATTAGTAGCATGAAGTGGGTGGCAAATAGAATTTATGATAAAGAAATCTGCCTTACAGAAAAGGTCATTTATTTGTGGAGTACTGTAAGGTTCTCTGTCTGTATCCTTACATAGTTTGAATTAATGTCTTGCACCAGGATAACATATTTGCCTCAGAGCAGGAACAGAAAGTGTTGAGAATGTGCTATCTTTGATCATCTTATTCCCTCAAATTTTCCACTTATGAAATCTCCTATCATGCCTGGTGTACTCTTGCTGCAGACACTTTTGACTTTGGTGAAGAAACCAAAGATGTGTTACATTTGCTAAAGAGATTTCCACAGGTGTTTTCCAGCCTGTTCAGGCATTCAATTCACCCATCATTTGGAAAATCCATTTTCTGAATTCAGTTGTGGGGGACTGAGCTGTGCACAGGGCAATGAAGCAATGGAGCTTTTGTCCCTGACCTTGGCTGCTTCTCCATTATTATGGCCCAGTTTTTCTCCACCAGGTAAAACATGATGGAAGAACAAGGATTCCAAAACTCAGTGATGGGATGCAGAGACTCTGTTGGTTCCCCTCACTGTGGACTGCTTCTTCCCAGACTTTATCCTGTGTAGACTGGGAGAACCTAAGGATCCTGTGCTTCTCCTGGGTGTCCTTACACATGATCTGCCATTGCTTAGGAAGGGTCCCTTGGCTGGCATTTCTTCCCTGGCTTATATGGATTTTTTACTACACTTCCTCCTCCTAAGCAAGAGGATGAGATAACAATCATAAACATCCATGCACCAAATAC